ATTATTGTTAATAATCTTGAATCAGAATCAGTTCCTCTTGCAGCATCTCTCTTCTCTGATGATGCGGGCGGGGCTATAACCTGTCACTCACATGAGATCAGCCAATAGCAAACCACAACAGTCTAATCAATTCCACACAGACACAATCAAGCCCAGCCCACATTTGTTCTTGTTTGAGAAGCCGTTTAGGAAAGAAAAGTCTATAGCGCAACTTTCGTTTCATGACGACAGTTTGAAATTTGAAATGGAATTCGGAACTTTCAGATTTGAAATCAAACCAATTCTGATGTTGTAATATTTATAGAGATGCAACGATGTATCGGACAATAATTGGTATTGGTTATTAATCGGTATCGGTTATTAATCGGCCAATAATCGTATAGGTTATTAATCGGCCGATTAAAGCTACTATCTTCGCCATTAGCGGATTGTTTATAAACAGCCGATGATCAGTGCTGATTATATCCTGTCAATCAAAGTGCGTTGTGCTCGGTTACTTCTAAAAAGAAACAAAGTGTACTCCACTACGCGCCACTATACTCCGCCATAAACCGCTATACACACTATTCCTCCACTATACTCCACTATATGCCGCTATACTCCACTATGCATCACTCTAAGCCATTTAGTGGCTCCACTATACATCACTACAACCACCCTTATCTGACCAAATCTATCAAAATCTGAAAAGAGTTTGAGAAGAGCATAATTCTCAGTGCAGTGATGAAAAACTGTCAGTCTGTACTAAAGCAGAGCGAGATGTTCCCTAACAGAAAACACACTTCATTCTCCTCCAGAGACGTCAGGTGATTAAACCGGCTCTCGGACTGAAAACACTCTCAGTCTCTCGCATCATCCCTGTGGAAAAACACCAGCCTGGAAAAACCAAGACAGAGGAAGAGGCTCATCGCTGCTTCCCGGGAAAATCAATCCGAGAGCGAGCCAGGGAGAGCAGCTGGATATTTTTTTTATCATAAAACACAAAAGACGAGAACAGACAGTCATCATCCCTGAGGAACCTCAAGCCGAGCCAAATTCAGTCCTTCAATCATGGATGGAGGAAGATTAGTGTGTGCACTGCAAAAAAATGCTTTACTTACTAAGGATTTTTGTCTTGTTTCCAGTCTAAATATCCAAACATTCTTAAATCAAGAATCATTTACTAGCGAATTAAAATGGCAAGAAATGATTTTTGCTTTGACTTTGAAATTTTTGCTTAAAACAAGCATAATTATCTGCCAATGGGGTAAGAAAAATAATCCTGTTTTACATTTGAATTAAGATTTTTTTTCCCTAAAAATATAGATAGTATTTTTCTGACCCCATTGGCAGTATATTTAGCTTGTTTTAAGCAAACTTAATTAGATTTTTTTTTTTAAATAAAAAACAAGATGGAATTTCTTATGTAATACTAATAATATAATGTCATAAATCGCTCTAATATGCTGATGTGCTTCAGAAACACTTCTGATTGACCGACTCCCAAGGGATCTCCTGCAAACAGACGGAGAATCAGCGGTTCCTGACCCGGACAAATTGGCACGAGGGTGGCTGCGATTGTTTTTCAATATGTGCTGTGACCTTTGACCCCTGGCTCTGCGGTGTGAGAGGTCAGCATGAGGACGGAGATTAAACGCAGCGAGTTGCTGTCAGTTATTACTTTTATCCAATCAATAAAGAGCAGGACGCTTGTGTCCAACACGATCAATGACACAATTCCTGTGAATATAACACACTCCACCTCTGTGTGTGAGAGAGAGAGTTTGTGTGTGTGTGTTTGGACTCACAACAATCACATGCCACACAGCAGAAAGCAAATGACACCGATCTGTAACCACAAAAACGCTGAGATCAAACAACGCGATGTGACTGTCTCCTCAAGAGATATAAAAACAATACAGATCCTTATTGCCGTTGCTAGGGTGTCTATAGTGGTTGCTAGGGTAATCACAAATTAAATCATCATCATCATATAAAGCATTTCAATATATAAAGAGTCTCTTCAGAAAATCTCTTGAGAACTTTTAGAAGCGTCAAAGTGGTGGGCCAGAAATCACTCAGATTTCATTCAATTAATGACAGAATTATCATTTTTGGGTAAACTAGCACTTTAAGTACTCAGTCTGAGTCTGTTTAATGGGTGTTTAAACACAACATGATTCCCCTGTCACTTTAATCTGTGTGTTTCTCGTATGATGCTGGTAAACACTCACATCAGCACTCAGACGTCTGCATATACGTGACCTCGTTTTCCATATAAGAGAGAAACTGCAGGACAGAAATCAAACAAGAAGTTCACTTTAAAGAAAGGAAATGGTGATGTGCTCAGATCATTTGATCTCAAGAGAATCTGCAACCAACATCTCGCAAACTTCAGTATCTTGGCAAATTGGAGCACAGACATCAAACTCAATGTATAAACTAGTACTTTTTTTTTGGCATCACTGTTTTACAAAGCAGAAAGCACCGATGAACTCGCATGTGATTACTGAGAAACAGCAGAATCTACATTTGTTCAGCTTTAAATCTAGTAAAATCAATTAAAAAAGTGTGAAAAAGTGTAAAATAAAAAAGTTACGGTAAAGCAAATGTACAGTTTTAAATTGACACAAAATATGTAGTTTACAATGTCTACATGTCTAACCAAGTTATGTTCCAAATTTGAAGTTGATATCACAAAAATGTACAAGTTTCAGTGAGATATTGGTAACAATACCTAAAATAGCCTCAGTGCGACACCCACATTCTAATGATTTTTTTAATGCGTTCTCCTCTAACAAATTAATAGATTTCTATCACAATGTCACTTCTTTTACAAAACAGTCACCAAATATGTATTCTTGAGTCTGAGACCTTTCCGACGACATGCGTGTTGTTCTGGTTCTGATTATAAAATTGTTCAAATACATTTTGTATTATGGAAATGACACCGCCCATTAGGGGGAGGAGCCTGCCAAACGGTTTTAACGCTACTTTTTAGCAGGCTCCCCCCCTAATGGGCGGTGTCATTTCCATAATACAAAATGTATTCCCCTCAATGTCCAATTTCAAAATGGTTTCACAGGATGAATTTCGAGCGTTTAAACTTTCAATTAAAATTTAGATACCTAATTTATGATTATTACCAAAATTTGTTACGGAAAAAAAAAAAACAATGCTAGCGTGACGCAACAATTTAGAAGACCTGAGCGCAATATTTCTGCATATAATAATTAAACCATACACTTCTTTCTTTTTCCGAGATATTGTGCGAATAAACGCTAACACTGTGAAGCTAACTTACATCGACAATGACAATACTGAACTTTATCCGATCAAATCTGATTCAACTAGGTAATGACACTTGCTGAATTGAACTCGTTTCATAAGTGATGAACTTTTGCAGCATCAACACTGATATTAAACTGAGTTGAATCAAAAACAGAGTTGTGCTATAATGTCACTATCGTCTTCTGTGGCGATGAATTAATAATTAATAATTTTATAATTAATTACTTTTAACACTTTTATTTTCCTAAGCTGCTTTGAGAACAGTTAATAAAAGCCATATAAATAACTGTGACTTAAATGTATTTCCCTGCAACCGATTCAACAAACAACGTGGCAGAAATACCTGAGATTCTTTGCTTTCGACGTTGTTTTCATGCGGTCTGTCGAGCAGATGTTTATGATACAGCGAAGCGGCACGTTTTGTCGTTTTCATGAAAACGCCGTGAAATTCAGCACTGTAATCGTGAAAGTCTGGTGACTTTTCCCTGAGTCTCTGCAAACTTCACACTTCACAGGACTGCTTCCACTGGAACAGATCAGATCAGATGATGGGGGGATTGCGTCACCTCGTGGCCAAAAGAGAAAATGCAGCTTCAACATCACTTGCTCTGGCTTGTTTTATTCAGCAGTTTCCTTATGGTTATGTTTGCTTTATTGGCATGTTTAATATTGCTGGGACCTGGGACCAGTCGAACTATGAGGACCACCGAGACAATTGTATGAGGACAATTGTATGAGGTTCTGGTAGACACAATTCTGGTAGACTGGGGCAAGTTGTCACACTTTCTTTCTATTTTACCTCAGTGGGTTAATTTTTTCAAAGTCAATTTCTGAACATTTGTGACACTGTTCTCTCTAATCTGTTTTAAAATATACATTTTTCACAATAATGTGTATTTAATATGAATTATGGGACATTCATGGGAAATATATAAAGTAAAAAAAAAAAAAAAAACAGTATAAACGAAAAAGGTCAGAAATAGTCAGTTAGCCTAACAAAAAAGCATATGACTTACGTTTTTGAGATAAAAAAATCTTGTTGCTGAAATATTATTTAAACGTTTTACAGTGTATTTTTATTAACCATGTTAAATATGCAAAAAACAACAACATCAACAACACTGTTTATTTTTTATTTATAAAATACAGCTAACACTACTATATTAAATATCCAGCACATTTTTTTTTCAGAAGGATCTCCAAATTATTACTCAAATCACTCATTAGTCATCGACTATCATGCTGCTCCAAAAATCAAAATTTACTTTTAAACATTCTGTTAGTTTCACCAAAAACACTTTATCCGTTTTTGCGGTCGCTCTGTATATTTCTATGGCATCGCTGTCGAGGAGTAATTAGCTGGTGAAGTGAATTTACTTATTGTAGAGTTAACAAAAGTTATCATGAGTATTGTACTGTTTATCATAAGCATTGTAAAGCAGATGTCTTAACAAATGTCGACCGGGAATTTTTTATTATTATTATTATTATTGTTAATATTATTTTATTAAGTAAGTAAGTTTTTTTTTTTTTTTATTGAAATAATTATACATTACAGTAAATAAAAAAATACAACATAAATTAAAATAATAATAAGCAGTTCATTCATACCAATGCAAGATCGCTGTGAAAATACAGACCGGAAGTCAAAAGACAATGAGCGCAACGCTGAAAAGGGGCGGGGCTACGCTATTGACCAATCAGCAACAAGGACCAGAACTGCCCGCGTGATAAATATAAAGTAGCTCAGGACTCGGAGCATCTTTGAAGCAGAAGTGATGCACAAGTCCTACCAGCCTCTGAAACCCGCAGCTAACCGGTTCCTGACGCAGAGATGGGACCAGACGAGATACGAGGACCACAGAGACAAGGTCTGGCTTATATGTTCGCTTTATTAGCATGGCATATGTTTGATTTATTAGTATGTTTAATATTGATGGGATCAGTCGAGCTATGAGGACCACCGAGACGAGATCTGACGGGTTATGCTTATGTTTGCTTTATTGGCATTAATATTGCGTGAAATTTAATTAATTTTGGCCGCTCTGTCGGAGTTATCAAGTCACTATAACTAAGTGAAAATGTTGAGCTGAAATGGAATACGTTTGTATTATTTTATTTCAGTTTATGCTTATGAATTTATGTGGTTGTTGTTAACTATAATAATCCTGCTTTGTGTGTATGTGAGAGAGATATTGTGTCTGAGTGTGTGCGTGTGTGTGTGTGTATATATATATATATATATATATATATATGTTGATTTTCTCTCTGTCTCAGGTGAGAAAGGCCAAACCTGTGGTCGACACTAAGGGCATCGAAACACCGGCGCATATTCAAAAGAATCTGAAGAAAGTCCAGGTGTCTGATTCATTCATATGTAAACAATAATGTATTTTTCATAATTGACTTGCCCTCATGTTGTTCCAAACCTGTAAGGTGGAGTAATAATGAATGCATGATAACAGTTGTTGTCTTCAGTTGCAGAAAGAAAGGATGTCCATCATAGAGAGAGACAATCATCTTCTGGTCAGCAAACTTTCTGCCATCGCTCACTCTAACGGACTGGTGGACCACAGGAATTATTACCCACAGTACAGGTGTGTGTGTGGTGTGTGTTTAGCTGGTTAACATATTAACTCAGTGAGGTGTTTATTTGAGCTGGGTTTCAGTTTTCGGATCTCCCGCTGCGTCTGGTCATCTCAAACTGACAGTCTGAATCATTAATGCTCGGCTGTTGACAAAGCCTTTATGAATTATTGAGAGACACATAACCTATTCCCATCATTCCCGAGGGATCCACCGTATCGGATCATGGCAGGATTAGTGGTTTGCTTAAAGAAGGTTTGTTTGAATCGTTCCTCGATTTTATGCACAATTACGTGTTTAATCTATAGACGTGCGTGTTTCATTATAAAGTGACATCGCCATCTACTGTCCTGACAGCAGAATACAGCGCTTAACCGTGATCGTTTAACAATGTTGTCGCCTGTACACTTTTTTCGTTGTAAAAGTACTCTTAGTGCTTTTTTTTTGCTGTTTTTGTAATTTTTATTATTATAAATATATATATATATATCGTTTTTATACATTTTTATTTCAATTTTAGTTTTAGTTATTTTAATACATTAATGTTTGCTAAATTAAAGGGATAAATGTTCAGAAACTTAATCTTAAATAAAACAAGTTTAAGTTATTTATGGTTTATTTTATTTTATTTCATTTAGAGCTTATATGTATATTATGAAAGCTTGTTTTCTGCCACAGGATAAAACAATTTAAAAGATAATTGCAACTTTTTATCTCACAATAATTACTTTATATCACGCTATTCCGAGAAAAAAAGTGAGATAAAAAGTAGTGCCTTTTTATTCTGTGGCAGAAACAACTTCCTATATATATATATATATATATATATATGCGCTGGAAATTATTTGGAAATAGCCGAAATAAAAGATTTTGATTTGACATTTATTTTGGTCGAAGTAATGAAAATGTTATTTATGTTATGTTATGATAATGTTATATATCTGTTTTACAGTCTCAACGCACAGAAAAGGAAGGAGAAGCTTCTACAAGTGACTCACGAAAACCAGGACATCTACCAGCGAATCATGACACAGAGATCCGACTACAGGAGGGAACTCTGGGAAGACGACTGGGAAAAGGTCAATCGAAGGAGAGACGACATCGCACGTTACCCACGAGGAGAGACCAACAGACAGGTGTGATGCAAAGTGTGCATTACTTGAAAATTCACACTATTTTGTACATATTTACTATTGTGATTCATCCATGCATGTTTCTTTTCATAATCATTGAAACTAGTGCTGGGCGACGATTCATTTTTACGAATTTACATAATATATGTGTGTACTGTGTTTAATTATTTTGTAATATAAATGCATACATATGCATGAATATATTTTAGAAAAATGTGTTATTTATATACAACATATTTTTATATGATGTATAAATATATATACATGCAAATATTTCTTAAATGTATATATGCATGTGTGTGGATTTATATATACAATTATGTAAACACAATCTATTATTTTGGATGCGATTGATCGTTACCCAGCACTAATTAAAACTATAAAAACTCAATCTTCCAGTGAAATGATGTAAGCTGGATCATTTAAGCTCCGCCCCTTTCTTATCTCTACTCAAACTGCATTTAGTCCCGCCTCCTTATCAGAACCACACCCACATCTCAACATTCAACCAACCAACAATTAGCGGATATAAACAAGTCCCCATCCTACCTTTCCCAGATAATCTGCATCACTCAGATGACTCTCCGATTAATCGCGACTTTAAAGCTTTTTTCCTCAGTCACAGAAACCTATAAAAGTGGTGAAGTTTTCTGACCGGAGTCAGCAGTCGTCCAGCGGCGTTGAAGAAGACAGCGGGGAAACCACAGAAGAAGAAGACATCAACTCCACCCCCGAACACGGTCAACATCATCGTCTATAAACCCTGTGGGTTCAGTTCACTGGAACAGAGACTGGAGAATAGAAATCACCTCAAAACCAGTTAACACACTGAATGAACAATAAATTATTGAGAACTTAAACATTAAATGAACCAGACTTTACTTGTGTGTGTGTGTGTGTGGGAGGAGGGGGTATTTACTAGTTGAAATGTCAACACTATAGTTAAAAAATGCAACAAAATTCAGCAATATTTGGAAGAAATTACTGAACATTTATTTATTTTAACATTATTGTGTTCATTTTAATCTTATATCTGTTATATAACCATTTATTGAAGGTTATTTAATGTTGATCTAACCAGCAGAAGACGCTCGCAGGGTTAAACCCCAGTTGCACAGGCGGGGCATGTTGTCACACTGCGTTACAATTAGCCTCTATTAGAACTATGATATTCTATTCCATACTTTTATGAACTCTGTTGAGAAACCATGAGAAAAAGGTCAATAAAGACTGAGAGTTAATGTTTAGAAATTATGATTATGTTTTGAAGAATGCTGTATAGCTGTGTTTTGAGGTGTGTGTGTTGTCAAAATCAAAAATTCTTAAAAAAAAAAAATGTCATTATTGTATATGAAAAGGTATTTTATTGACAAAATATTTAAGTTTTTCTTGTAGAACATGTTAATCTGGTCATGTTTTACTCATGTTGTCACAGTCACGTCCATTCTTTTAGGCTAAATCACGAAAAAAGTAAACACTGTATTAATAAAACAAAACCACATAATTGTTCTAGATATGTGAAGTTAATTTCTCACAAACTGAGACGGTCAAAAAGGTTGTGCTCCTTCACTTTTACAGCTCTGTAATCTTACCTTGTGTCTGTTTTTATTTCTCATAAAGGATTTATATGACTTAATACCCCAAAACACGTAACAGAGCATTATCAACCTGTGAAAATGATCTTCCACCATCTCACTAATGCAGAACATCCATCCTCCACTGGATGGCAACACAACCATGCTGGATGAATGCAGTCTCCCTTCGCTTGCTGAAAACATAGGAGAGGAAACAGAAATCATGTCTATGGTTATTATGAATCATACACTCTTAGAAAAAAAGGGTTCTATATATGTAGCATAGGGTTCTTTACACAACAAAGGACCTTTTATGCCAAAAAAATATATGATAATGACAAGAAAGAACCCTTTTGGCACAAAGGTTCTTTATAGGCTATTATTACATTATTTTGCAACATTTTGCAGTTGTAATTAAATTAATGTTTATTAAACTGTTGTAGTAACTTAATATCACATTTTAATCATGTTGATTTTTGGAGGATCAAAACTGAAATGCCACTCTTCGTGTGATATTGATCAACTACATTTTTTAACCCCCATATCTTAAATTTTGTGATCATTCACATGCATTGCATTTAAGGGGTTCCAAATACGTAGCGCTTTAGAACCTTTTAAGGTTCTATATAGAACCTTTTCTTCTAAGAGTGTAGATATTAATGCTTCTCGGAGATGACGGATGACGGAACGATCTTGTATAGACCATTTCAAAAGATGTAAACAACACTGGTCCAGAAGCACTTCCTGTTTCAGTTTGTAACCGTTTTCTTTATTTCACATGTAAAGAAAAGCTCTTAAAGATGTTTGTTTAACTTTTTGATTCAGTTTTAAATGTTCTGTTGGTTGTATTTTATCCCAGCTTTTATGTAGTGTTAAAAAACTGAAACAGGAAGTGCTTCTGGACCAGTGTTGTTTACATCTTTTGAAATGGTCTATAAGTTTGGCACCAGCGCATGGGATTATTTAAAGCATTTATTAAAAGTGTTTTTCATCACAGAAGTCTCCGTCACAGCCAAAAGATCCGGTTTTGCTTTTCATGCATAACCATAAAACATGGAAATGTTCACCACAAACAGGGAATCATAGTTATTAAAAACCTGTATGACGCATCGTTCAAAGTTTGGTTATATATAGTGCTACTGCGTGATTGATCAGTTTCACTGTCGCCAACACGCAGTCCACGCGCATTATAAGACACGACACAGATGTTCATATACAGTAGATGAATTCATTACATAGCAGCTACTATGCATACAGGCCCTCGTAAAATATATTTACTCAAAGAAGTACCTCAAAGAAAACCATGCATTATAATAAGCCATTGCATTCCCATCGTTCATCATGTCCGACAAAACAAGGCAATACATTTTAGAGCCCATTGGAAGAGCAACGTGTCAAATTTCACTAATTAAGCAACAATTATTCTTCTCTTCTGAGCATTTGGCTACCTGAATAATACTTGCTTATCCAGCAGAAAAAAATGCTTTCCTGAAATCTTGGGAAGAGCTAGTCTCCGTGTGCCAGGATTTCCCATCTGTTCCCTGACCTCGGTTTTCCTCTAGCTTTCCTACCAATCTCTCATTCTGAATGTTTCAGTCGTTCTTCTGCAAAGTCAAATTATGCAGAAGAATAACTGAAGGCATGACATGCGCAGATAAAACGCTGGTGTGGACGGAGATCGTATTCGTGTTTATTCTCCGTTTTTAAACGCAGTGTGGACTGAGTGGCCAGAGCTATAGGTCTGTAGTTGTCTTTACTGTTAAGTTTGCCAGTTTTATCTTTTACAATTGGAACCAAAATAAAAGACAATATAAATAAATAAATAAAATAAAAGCCGCGCTCTGAAATGGCGCCACGAGCTCGCGAGAAAATCGCAAATATCTCGGCGAAAAATCAACGTTTCGACGCCAAGTTTTTATCGAGTGGAGAACGGACCGAGGCCTTTCGAAAGAGACATTCGAACCGACTGTCCGAACTAAACAAACAAATTACGCGTTTCGTAATTTTTGGTGGAGTGTTCGCGGAGATATTAGCCGAAAACCGTCGGCCGCGCTCTGAAATGGCGCCACGAGCTTGGGAGAAAAACGCAAATATTTTAAAAGTTCACATAAACATTTTGATAAATAGACACAAAGCACTTATGATAAAAAACTGCAGTATTGTTGTGCATTTGACAAACTTTGATTTGGTTTGAAATGCAAAAGCTTCTGAAATGCTTTCCGTCAAAACCCTCTGAGACACATAAAACAGAATACTTTAATAGAAAAATACATTTATTCATACAGGGTTCACAAACCAGTACCTGAAAGAAAAATGAGATGCTGGGAAAGGTCTATAAAAGGTTCAACAAGGAAAACTGATTTTCCAGAAGACAAAATGACTCAAATAGTTGTGTATTGTAATTCACATAAGAGTGCATTTATGTGCTGCTTATTAGTCAAATGACGAAGTGATTTCAAGTAAAACAGAGCATTTGTGAATCTATCAGGCCTGAAAAACAAGCAAACAACACAATATAATGTGACAGGTCCCAAAACTGGTTTGACTTTTACAGATGACTTAATTGTTATGATGATAATATAATTTAGCAATTAAAAATGCTGGATTAATTTAGAATGTATTAAAAATAAGCAATTTCACTAGTGGACTCAGACTTTTGGACCCCGCTGTACAACAAAAACACATCAAACTTCATTTCAACACTCACATGAAATCTTACCTAGAGTCACACAGAGAGAGAACCAACATACAAATATCACAATTAAAACCTGTATTGCTGTTTGTAAGTCATTAACATTAATAACCTTAAGCTCAAACCAACATCTTTATCTTATAATGAATCATTAGTCATAGAGTCCTGTCAGTTCATTTATGCATTAACAACATCCCAGCAATTAAGGGTTAAGGTATTAGGGCTGAGCAGTATAATTAACAAAATTGATTATTTTTCAACCTTTCAATATATATATATATATAAACTCAATACTTGCTCTAAAATTGGAACCATAATTTCAATCAATGCAGACAAACAGGTTCAAAATGTTTAATGTGTATGTTTAACGTTTAATGATTTTCATATATATATATATATATATATATATATATATATATGCACAAATGTAATACATCTACAGCAATATTTACCTACACATATTTTACTAAAACGTTTAAATAAGTGTACAATGCCACACAGACTTTTGAAGTGATGCAAATAAATCGATAAATCCGTGTTGAAACTGATTCTCTGACAAGAAATCATAAATGGAAATAAATGAAACTTACTAACAGTAAAGGCCCGTTCATACCATGAACGATAACTATAACGATAAGTATACTGGTGTCCACACCAGCTGACGATATCGTTCTGTTTATTATAAGTGTGCGCTTCAGTTTTGGCATCTGCCTCGCAGGATGCATTCTGATTGGCTGTCGATGTTTTTATAGTTCATCAGCTGGAAAAAAAATCGTTCTAAAAAGCAATTCCAACAATATCATTCCTCTGTGCCATTATCAACATACTTATACTGCGTAGATGATATCTTTATCGTTATAGTTATGCAGTGGACGAAATCTTTATCGTTATAGTTATGCCGTGGATGATATCTTTACTGTTACAGTTATGCTGTGAACAATATTTTTATCATTATAGTTATGCTGTGGACGATATCTTTATTGTTAAAGTCATGCTGGGCAGATATCTTTATTGTTATAGTTATGCTGTGGACGATATCTTTATCTTTATCGTTATAGTCATGCTATGAATGATATCTTTATCGTTATAGTTATGATGTGGACGATATCTTTACTGTTATAGTTATGCTGTGGACGATATCTTTACTGTTATAGTTATGCTGTGGAAGATATCTTTATCGTTATAATTATGCTGTGGACGATATCTAGTTATCGTCCTTGGTTTGAACAGGCCTTAACGCTGCTTGTTTAAATAAGAAATGGAATAAAACATCTCGTTAATAAGATGAGGACAATTAAAAAGTGCATAAATGTGATTTCGCTCAGCCCTAGTTAGCATGTCATTTGCACTCCCATTACACAAGAATCTCGTCGTTTCTGAGCGATGTACAAAAAACGTAAAATGACAAAGTTCTAGCGGCAAGAACGTCAGGCATCAGGTGAAGAAATCTTTCGAGATGGCTTCCACGAAATTAGGCGCCGACATCATGATCCCGATTGTGCAGAGGATTGTAAAAATAGAGAACGCCATGAGGCACAAACGATCGATCACCGCCGCCGCGAACTTCCATTCGTTACACACGTTCTCGTCCTCATCCTGGTCGCGAAATCGTTTGGCGATATACCTCACCTCCTCCAGAATTTTGGCCAGTTCCAATTCCAAAGCCCCACCCACGATACCTCCACTGACTCCGCCTCTGATCCCAGCTCCGCCCCCTAGCGACGGCACCGCCGACCCCGGCAACAGCACGTCATCCTCAGTAGATGCCACGAGACGCCCGCAGAGCACGCCGTGAGAGTCATGAGCATAATGGCCGCCCTCCATCCCTCTGAAGCCGATATACAGCATGTTCCCGCTGTTGGGCTGCAGCGCCCCCTGGCTGACCGATAGATCCACGCTCGACACACTCCCACACCGGGGATGTTTGTTATGACACGCCAGACGGATCCGCTCCTCGCCGGGCCGGCGCATGCGGAGAAACCAGGCGCACCAGTTCAGGAGGAGAACGCGGGTCTAGACAACAAAACACAAGCATGAATAGCCGCGTTTCCACCGAAATTCCCCGGAACAACAGGGGCTTTCGCACCTTTTCATTGGCCGCGTTTCTACCGCAGGAACTTTGGGAGTGTTTCGACCACACGAACCAGGGTCTAGAAGAAGCTCCGGGTCAATATTTCCCCCTTCTAAAAGTCCCTAATGCCCCTAACGTCCCTTAGAGATGGAAGAGGATTTTTCAGGAGTGATGATATAACTGCGCCGAGTCGAAGTGCTATTTCACCATACATTATAGTTGTCCATTTTACCCGCTTAGAAAAGTGCCACGTTTTATTTTGTGTCACTTGGTTGAGAAACTGTAT